TTGATGAAAGGATTGACTGTAAACAAGATCCACTGAAAAGAATCTATGACATGGAAATTACTGTGACAGCACAGAGCTTAAGACGGTAACTTGAAAAATATAAAAATATCATAATTTAACAAAATTTGTTAAGAGTGTTATTTTCCTTCTCATTCCAAGCAAAGAGTCAATCAATGTCATTTAAATTATAAACAGGGAGTTAAAGGAGAAACAAACGCAAAAGAAATGTGTTTTAGCAGAAAAAAAAAATTCAGATCATAAATGAAAGCTATGTATCAAATATACCAGGATAAGCTACAGTGTGTAGAGTAAAACGGACACCCTTAAACACCAATGAGGTATCTTGTGGACAATACCGGGTCCCAAGTAAACATCTCCACCCACTCTGCCATTTTCCCAGTGCCAGTTAAAGTCAAGACCCAGTGTGGATCCCAGCCAGCAGTGCCAGCCAAAACAACTGCCCATGTCTGTACCCACTGTACATAGGGCCACGGTCATTCTATTTGGCCTTGTACATTCCTTCCTCTCTCTCTTCTGTTAGCAGCCACTCGTCCATGTCTTGCAGGCTGCCAGACCATACAGCCACATGGGTAAGTACCCTGGTGCGGGTGCCAATTCCCTGTGTGGTCAACATGAAGCCACTCAGAATCCCTTCCCCCTTTAATTACAATGCATCTCAAATTTGTTTTGCCAGGGAATAGGTTCTATTGCCAAGTGACAAAATCTACTGAACAGTGTGTGTGTGTAAAGTTTTTCTCCTGCTTAGGGAAAAAAAAAATCCTGCGGTGAAAGCAGCATACAAAGGGATGAGGCCAACATGAAGCCACTCAGAACCCTTCTCCCTAGCAAAAGAAAGTTGGAATGCCATTTCCAGAAGCACTGGCTGCCAGCTTCCCACCTTCCTGAGCCCCATGGGATGCCCATCTTAGCAGAGGGAAACAGGACAAAGAATGGAATTAACACAAGAAATATGACTCTGTAAATTCTAGGTCTCAGTTCCAACACTCAGGGACCTAGTCCAGACCTCTTTCTTTATGAGCTCCGCCACCACAGGAGTCAGGTCAGGATTCTTCCCCTGAGTAGGAGAAAAACTTCACACATGCAAGCTGTTCTTCAGTGGGTTTTGTCACTAGGTAACAGAACCTACCCAGTTAACCCTTTCTTGGAAAAAAGACCATCCTTTGCCCTTTTCAAAACTCACCGGACTCAGCAGTCTCTTTCCACCTTCTGTTCTTCCGGCTCACCCCACTCCCTCTCTGGACATAGAATCTCACTATGTAGCCAAGTATGGTCTCCAGCTTGGAGTCCTCTTGCCTTAGCCTCCCCAACTACTGGGAAACTTAGCTGTGTCTAACACAACAGCCATATTCCCCCTATGCAGACATCTGGGTTTTACGATGGACGATTTTGCTTCAGTCTCCATCAGCTTAAGTTGCCCTCATTAGAAAGCAAGCAAACAAACAAAAAGTAAATAAAAGGTAAAGCAAAGATATTTTCCTTTGGCACAGTTCCTCTTGAGCTCTTTGCCTAGGTCTTTTCGCAGAATGCAAATTTATCTTCACCACTTACTTGTTCATGTCATTCTAGAGCAACTACTTCAACTAGACTTGCCCCTATTATCAGTAATGCTCTTATATTTATCAAAGCAAGAAGAAGAAAGAGGGAGAAACAAAGAAAAAAGACAACCAGCACACCTAGAAAAAGGAGGTTTCCAACCAGAAAAAGACAGACAGATTAGATTTCCATTTTCCCAAAGATAGTGGGAATAAAGATGACTTGATTCCAGGAATACATTTCTCTGACTGGATTAGAGATGAATGGTGATTTTACAGTCTTCCAGGCACAGACACTGTGAGTAATACCAATGTTTCCCACCCTGTGGAAATAATTCTGGATGATCCCTCTTCAAGAACATGCAACTGAAACATGCAAAGAACTTCCATTTATCCAATCAACCTGAACCAGTTTCAAAAGCTTACACTCTTCCTCTTTAATAAGTAAACTGAAAATACTCTTTTGACACATGGTCATTTTTCATGAGAGGCACAAACTGACCTTGTTAAAAATTATACTCCAGTCACTCCCTTTTGAACATACTATGGTCTCATCATTTTCTCTGTTTAGCAATTAACTTAGCTTGTCTCACAGCACACGACACACCCTAGTTTTTATCCTGTCTCTGGCTATTTCATAGCTTTCTCTTTGCTCCTTTTAAATGTTACAGCTCCCTAAGGTCTATGCCTCAGGCTGCTTTCCAGAAAGGTCACTAAGCAGGTCAGAGGAACATAAGCCCTTGTCCCAAAAGCTGATGCTTTGTTAGCAATACAAAGGGCATTGCAAGTGATGATATCATCACCTTAGCCCTGTCAGTCTGTAGTACTAAGACCGTGAGCCACAGCCGTGTTAAAAAGCAGGTATACATGGAGGGAATCCCTGGCATCCAGAGGCAGGTGCTTCAAAGAGGGAGACGGAACCACTAGCTCCTACATCATCTCCATGCATTAAAATAGTTTAGTAATATTTTTTGTTTCTTTTAAAGATTCTTTTTTACATTTGCTTATCTTATATCATATATATCTTTTTGCCTGCATGTATGTATGTATATGTACCACATGTGTGTCTGCTACCCATGCAATCTACAAAAGGGTATCCAAACCCTGAAACTAGAGTTATCCATGTTTCTGAGCCACCATATGGTCTTGGGAACGAAGCCTGTATCTTCTGAGACAGCAACCCATGCTCTAAGCTGCTAAGCCAGCTCTTTCCTCCTCATCTGTTCCTCTGAGGCAAGATTTCATTGTGTGGCTAAAGCTTAGACTGACAAATGTAGGGATAGCAGGAGTGAGCCACCATACCCAGTTTGAACAGTGATTTAAAAGTTTCAAAGAATTCTTAGTCAAAACCACCAAAAAATGTCTGAGGGACAGTGTGTTAGAACTCTCCAGCTGTTATTTCCCTCTTATTTCTCAGCTGACAGGATCATGAATTGATTACAGCCCTGTCATAGTGGCATAGGACAAGGACGAGCACTATTGGGTGGAAATACATACACATTGCCAGTGGAGGTTCACATTTTTTTTCTAGTCTCATGAAAAAAAAAATACAAAGGGGGAAATCAACTTGAATCCCATATGATTTCACCGTAACATACTTATGACACATAATACAGTCATTTCAAAATGAAAGCTATGTGTATTTTAGGTCTTTATAAATGTTAAATTTCCGAAATACAGCATTTAAGCTAACAGTATACATTTGACTGGCCAACATTTCAAGAGCTCAACCTGCAAACTAGGCTGGTGCCAATCACACAGGTAAAGTATGGAGACTGGAGACTCCATCACATGGGCTGGGGAGTCAGGTGTTTGAAATGTTCTACACTGATACAGGATAGGGCTAACTCTGAAATTCAAACCTGGTCTCTTCTTCGAAACGTAAGCTAATAAACTGGTTCAGTGACTTGTCATTGTTCTAGAATGCAGATCAAATTCATTAAAAAGGCTCAAAAAACCCAGACAGTTTAGCCCTTTCTTAATTCAATGGCCTGCAGGTGGTGAGCAAAGGTAGACAAATGGTACGAAAAGGAATAAAAAGGCCAAAGGCCTTTTCTGGCTCCTCCGTCATGGCTACCCACAAGCAGGCAGCCTGGAGTGGAAAGAACCACTCTGTGGCCCAGCCCTGCACAAACCACAAACCAAAACAAAAAAATGAAGCTACCCTGGCAATACCGAAATAAGTGCAGAAGAAAGTGGGGTCTGTTTCCAGGGTCAAGGAAAGTAACTTTTGTAGGAACAATATTCAAAGGTTTAAAAACATGCGGTTATTTCGGAAAACACAGGTCTTCATGATGATTCACAGGTACTGGTAGCCATTCATCAAAAACAGACAAAAGTGAACACCATGGACTAAGCATGTGTCCAGCCTTTCTTAAAATCTATTGGAATAGTAGTTGCTAGGACTTTGGGAGCTGGGGAAGAGAAAGGGTACAGAGCGGTAGCTAGAGGGAGCAATAACTCCTAATACCACATATCATGGTAGGACAAGCAGTTGACAACAATTGTTGACTGTTCTCAAGAGCTGGTGAAAAAGGAAAAGTAAATGGAAACTGAGCATCTGTGGTCCAAACATGAAATCTGAAATGTTCCAAAACTGGGCATATTTTGAGAACTGCTCTGAATCTATATTCGGAAAATTCCTATCTGAACTCATGTGACGGGCTGCAGCCTAAATGGAGGAACACTAAAATTACTCCATAAAATGACCTTCAGGCTGTGTGTGTGAGGTATACCTAAGAATTTCATATTCACTTGGGTCCCATCCACAAAGCAGCTCATTATGAACCCTCAAAATTCCAAATTCTATAAGGTCCAAAATACTTAAGCCCAGGCATTTCAGAAAAGGAAACATGTCAGTTTCTACTCCCAGTCCCCATGTGACAACACACAACTGTACTTTGGTAACTCTAGTTCCAAGAGCTGTGACAACCCCCTCTGGCATCTCCTTGGTACCAGCCTCACATGTGCACAGACACGCGTGCAGGCCAAACATCATATACATGAAATAAAATTATTATTTTTTTAAATAATAAAAAGGTGTATCAACAAGGGATGAAGTAGAAATATCTTTTCGTGGACTTTTTAGAGTTAATTCCAAAGATACAATATTAACCGAGAGAAAAACCAGAAAAAGATCAATTTACAAATGAACTAAAATATATCAATGTGGTTGAGAAAAATATTAATTCTAATACTTTAAAGCAAAATACTGCCTTTATCGAACAGCTATGGCAGAACATATTAAACTAAGAAAACACAGCACAATTTGTAACTGGGCAAACTATAAGGTAAAGCAAATGAATGCACTAATGGTACAGTGGATCATTAGGAACTCAGATTTTTTTTTTTTTTTTACTATCGGAGAGAAAATATGAATACAAAGTATTACTATTTACAATGAATGGACATGACCCAACAAGAACAGGGGCGCTGTTCAGGACCTACCTCTTGGCAGTACTGCAGGATGCCCTCCTTGGTGCCAATGCAAGTTTTGGTCCCTGATGGATCTGACTCCCACTTCCCGTTCTGCACATTCATGTGCATATTGAGTTTACCACAGAACATGGCAATCTGGGGTTCTGCTAGCAGCCCGGCATTGCCATCGGTGGGCACCTAAAAGAATAAAGAAGTCCCAGTTAGTAACAGGATCCACAGCTCCAGGAAAAACAGAATGAGACAATCATACCTAGTGATCTTCAGCCATATACACCACCCCTCCTTCAGCATCGTTAGGTTGAGTAATACAAATTGTACAGACATGGCAAATAAACTATAGAAGAAAGCCCATTCTTTAACACCAGAGTATTTAAAGGAAGATACTAAGAACACTGAATTCAACATTTGTTCATTCCAAAATCTTTCAGTTTTCCCACAAAAGATTGTGCAAGATCCCCTGAAAGGTTCTAACAATAAAGAGGGGTTTCTAAAATAGATACAGCCACTGTGGAAGAATCCACATTCCCATAACTCTTAGCTGCTCACACACAACACAGGGCCAGTCACTGCTTGATGACCAGAGGCGGCACTATGTACCACTTCTCAGCACTGACAGCAAGTCGTCATCTACGTGTCTCACTGCTGAACAGGTGCCTTCATCTCAGGGAGCTTCTGTTCATTTCTAGGTGGTGGTGTTGTTGTTTGGAAACAGGGTCGCTCTATGACGCCTCAGCTGTTCTGGAATTCACTGCGTATCCCTGGGTGGCCTGGGATTCACTGTGTAGACCAGGCTGACCTTAACTTCGGAGATCTACCTGCCTCTGCCTCCTGAGTGCCGAGATTACAGGGATGTGCCACTATGCCCAGCTTATATTTGAGTTTTCTTAGAAAATTCCCCTGCAGAATTAACATTCAGGAATGTAACCAAATACACTGACCATTCCATCTGGTTTCCCCAGGACATTCCCTATTTGTCACTCTCATCATTTTTTTTCCTCCAGTTTTATGTGTGTGTGTGTGTGTGTGTGTGTGTGTGTGTGCGTGCGTGCACGAGCGCAAAATGTGAGTGAAGGCCAGAGAACAACCTCAGACATTATACTTCAGGTACTTCCCATCTGCTTTTGAGATGGGAATCTCTCATTTGCTTGAAACCTGACAAGGAGGCTGAGCAGGCTGTGCAGAAAACCCCTGGAATTCAGCCATTCTAGCACTGGGATTACAAGGGCACACACCGGGCATCTTGTTGTTATTGTTGTTTAATTTAGCTTAGGGGATGGACGGTAAATTATAGCACTTCTAGGTCCTTTGCCAAGTGAGCTATATTCCCAGCCCTGTTTTGGCTCATTAGAACAGGGGGCTCATGCCCCACATCTCCTACCACACTTCGAGGAAACAACATCTCATCCAGAGCTCAGCAGAGCACCTGCTGTCCCTAAACTCAAAAGCAAGCTCTTTGCTTTGACCATTGGAGGCAGTATGCCATTTCATAAGACTTTGAAAAGTATTGCAGCCATAAACTTTCTAAACATGTTTTAGAAGTTCTGAAACAATGTATCTTTTAAAATTGTTTGAATCAAATCAGGAATTCCATCATCAGGAATTAATGCAACTGAACAGCAGCACTTCTTCATTAAGATTCCATAGGAAGTTTGTTCAATCAGAGTGTGTAAATATCCAGAAAGTGATGATTCACATCATACCAGAGTAAAGAGAGATTCAGGTCACAAATAATGAGTGTCAGAGACTGGAAACAAACTCTGGGTGTATCATGGTAGAGACCTTGTAAAATACTGGATCCCCTTCCAGAAGGCCCACCTGCCTAATGAGCTCCTTTAACAAAAAGTGTGCTTTCTGTATTATACAGTCCTTCTGTGAATAGGTGATCCTTCCATCCTATGTAGCCGAGACTGGTCTCTAAATTGTGATCTTTTTGGCCTTCATCCTTCAGTATTGTGATTACAACTTTACCATCCTGCCCAGTTAGATTTAAAAAGAAAAAAAAAAAAAATGTGGAAATAAGGTTCTGCAAGACATAAACAAAACAAAAAAACCAAAACAAAACCTAAGCCCACACAAGGAAAAGGACTACTGAAAACTAAGTAATCAAAAGACACACAAATGTACTTCCGCCCCAGTGAAACCCCTATGCTGAGGAACTGACCTGAACCCCAGGGAGACTCAGTAGCCACGCCCACAGTCCCTTCTTGGGTGACACCATAACTGGAATTAATCCCAAAAACTATTTACAGAAGAATTAGAAGGGAGAGGAGAGGAGGAAGGAATATGGAAGAGGGAGAAGGGGGAGGGATGGTATCAAATTGCTAAAATGGAGAGATTCGGTTTAGGACATTTCCCTCCACAGAAATATGACAAGGAGCCTGAAGATATCTGATAAGCTAGGGTCAGATGAAAGGGGAGGAGGTCCTCCTCTATCAGTGGACTTGGAAAGGGGTAGGGAGAAGATAAGGAAGAGAGGGTGGGGATAGGAGGGAATAAAGGACGGGGCTACGGCTGGGATACAAAGTTAATAAACTGTAACTAATATTAAAAAAAAAAGTTAATTTTAAAAAGAGGAAAAAGAAATGTGACATGGAAACAACATCTGTCCATCCGGGTATTTTGTCTGCCCACAGCAGAGGATTTTCATCCCTAACAAATCAAACAAACACGCAGGTTGTAGACTGAACCCACAGTGGGAGGTGGGTCTGTTGGAACCTGTCCACATTAATCTTTGTCTCTCTAGCACCGGGTGATTAGGCCCTTTAAACACAGCTGGGGTCACAAGGTCAGACCAACTACTGAGCAGCTGAGACCCCTCAACACTTCCAAAGGACCCCCCTGCCATTTCCCACCACTGCCAGAAAACTGGAAGTTTCATTTTCCACCAGATGCAAAGTTGTAAAAAGAATTTTTATTCATCTGTTTCAGTTGTCTCGGAGGCTTACTGCCTCTGTCTGCTAATCTAGGCCTAGTCCTGGAAGACTTTGGCCTCTGTACAATCTAATGTAGGACTAGACGTAGGCCTAGAATGTTTTCAGCCTCTGAGACTTACTGCTGAATAAGCTCATCCTTTCTTGTTCTTTCTGAGCTCTGGGTTGGCTGGTTCAACTCAGCTGTTCTGGTTCAAACTCTACTCCCAGCTGACTTTAATTCACTCTGGCTTCTCTCTTGGCCTCTGAATTGCTCTGCTTGGTCTCAAACTAATTCCAACAATCTTCTCTAATCTCCTGGCTGCTTCTCATTCTCCTTGTTCAGGCTTCACCTCTCTCTGTCTCTGTCTTCTCTCTCTCTCTCTCTCTCTCTCTCTCTCTGTCTCTTTCTGCAACTGTCTCTCCATTACTGGCCTGGTAAAACTGCCTCTTCTTTCTGTGCCCGTTAAGTAGCTTCCCTTTCGTCCCTGTTCTCATTGAGAGTTGTGCATATCCTATTCTGTCAAATCTTCTCTGATTTGTCTGTCACTTTTTCTGCCACTCAATTAGACATCAGTTGCAAATATGGATGCTTTCTTTTACAAACTAACTTTACCTTCATTATTTGGGATTAAAGGTGTGAACCACCAAGCCTGGATCTAAGCTTTTCTCTACCTGAAACTTGCTCTATACAGGCTGACCTTGAACTCAGATCTGCTTGCTTTTGTCTCCTGGATTAAAGGTGTATCTGTATTCCAGCCAGATCACACAGACCTAGGTCTTTGGATGTAATCTCCTGCCAGAGCAGCCATGTTCTGAATTAAAATTCCTCTACAAACAGAATGTCCCCAAAGCAGACTGTTCTATGAACTTGAACATAACAGCTCACATGAGAAATTAAAAAGAAATTCAGTGCTTGGGTCTTATGGAGCAAAATGTAAATCTTGCCAATTTTAGTGAAATAAATAGATGAGAAATAACATGGCAAGGAAGTTAAAGAAAGTCAAATCATAATCAGATTGACACCTGTGGGTCAATCCCTGGAGCGGAGGTTAAGGTGAGGCTCACATTAAATGTCAACCTCACTGCATCCCCGCTGTGTCTGCTTCTGTCCCAGAGGTCCCCACTCTTATCAGACTTGGTGTCTTAGAAGTTAACTTTTAACAGGAAGTTGGTGAATAGTTTATCCAAAGAAATTCACCCTCAATTTCAAAATCTCCCTTTCCCCCTCTATTTCCTCTACGATACCACAGGTCAGGTTGTGGGCACTACCCCTTTGCAAGCACAAAAGCAGGAGATTGCATTTCCTTCTGCAAAGAATTTTTTTTTAATTTTATTTTAATTATTAGTTACATTTTGTTAACTCTGTATCCCAGCTGTATCCTGCTCCCTCATTCCCTCCCCAATCCCACCCTCCCTCCCTCATCTCCTCCCTGTCCCTTTCCAAGTCCAATGATTGGGGAGGACCTCCTCCCCTTTCATCTGACCCTCTTTTATCAGGTATCTTCAGGACTGGCTGCAAAGTCCTCCTCTGTGGCCTAACAGTACTGCTCCTCCCCGGGGGGGGGGGTCAAAGAGCCTGCCATTGAGTTCCTGTCAGAGATAGTCCCTGTTCCCCTTACTATGGGAAACAAATTGGTTACTGAGCTACTACGGGCTACATTTGAGCAGAGGTTATAACCTAGAACCATTCATGGTCTTTGGTTGAGTATCAGTCTCAGAAAAGATCCTGTGCCCAGATATATTAGATCCTTGTGGAGCTCCTATCCTTTCCACATCATACTAACTCCCCTTCTTTCCTATGACTCCCTGTACTCTGTCGAAGGTTTGGTTATGAGTCTTAGTATCTGCTTTGAAACACTGCTACGTAGTCTTTCAGGTGCCTTCTGCGGTAGACTCCTGTCATATGTTCAATGCACATCCCATTTGTCTTTCTAAATGAGGACTGATCATCTTACCCCGTGTCCGCTTTCTTGATTATCTTCTTTAGGTGTATAGATTTCATTATGTTTATCCTATCTTGTAGGTCTATATAAGCGAGTATATACCATGTTTGTCTTTCTCCTTCTGGGATACTTCACTCAGAATGATCTTTTCTAGATCCCACCATTTGTCTGCAAATTTCATGATTTCCTCTTTTTTGATTGCTGAGCAATATTCCATTGTGTAAAAATACCACAATTTCTGCATCCATTCCTCCATTGATAGACATCTGGGTTGTTTCCAAAAAGAAAATTTAAATAACAAATATTCTCCAGTGATAGTCAA